AGACAGACAGACAGACAGACAGATAGATAGATAGATAGATAGATAGATAGATAGATAGATAGATAGATAGATAGATAGATAGATAGATAGATAGATAGATAGATATAAATAATAAATAAACTACTACTATTACTACTTGTACTATTATTCCAACTTAGCAGTTTTCACGGTACGGATTCCCCGCGATAAACGAGGGACTACTGTATAACTTTAAAAGGAAACACTGTAGTGTTTAAGTGTGCTAAACACACTACAGTACTGATAAAACATCATTAAAAACTAACAGCTACTCACAGCTGACATTTTTTTGTCTCTGCTTCCACTGGCTTTGGTTCTCTTCCCATGAGCTTCAGAGTCCATCAGAGGAACAGGCATGGAGGTGTCGGGGTGGGGCGGCAGGGGAGGACTGTCTCTGAGAGGGGCTGGAAGAGGGTCTGGGGGCAGGGCTTGACTGCTTTTGTGGTCACATGGGGAGTTGGAAGGGTCACTACATGACTCGTCTGAGTCTGAGTCCAGAACTCCATCTGCTGTGGTGGACGGGCAATCCTCAGTGCAAGCAGGGGCATTTGATTCACTGTGTGACCGATCCTTGGGGTAATTGTTGTTGTTGCCCTGGTGATTTGAGGCAAAGGCTCCTTTGGAGGAATCACTAGTGCCTGAACTGGAGTCAGGCTGTTTGAAATGTTTGAACTCGCAGGGTGAAACCAAACACAGGTCCACGTCGTGAGCAGATGCCTCAAATTGCTTAGACGCAAAAGGTCTCCCCATCTCTGAGCCTTGACCCAAAGATCTGGGTGGCTTCTTTGCTGGTAAAGGCACTCCCACAAAATAACCTCCGTTTGAGTGGGAGTGATAAACACTGTTGTCTCCTTCTCTCTGACTCACAGTGGTTGGTCCTTGCTCAAAGGACATGGACAGTGATTCATCTACTTCTGTGGACTGAGGCGAGCTCACCTCAGCTGGCAATGAATGTGTGGTGGTGGTGGTCACAGACGGGGAGGGCTCTGAAGATCCCTCTTTAAATGCACCCAAGGAAAGAAAGCTGAGATGCTTCTCTTTAGAGTTTGTGCTGTTTTCTGGAGCACTTTTGGTCTGGCTCTCACTCTGCCTGGATAACTCAGTGAGATCGTAGGCATCAGCTGAATCAGGGTTACCCATCTGGGCCTGTAGTCTGCTCAGAGCGGTCCTGTTGCACCACACGTCGTCCGGGGACAAACAGTAAGGAGTGTGGCCTGCACTGTTGGGACGTGAGTCAGGGGAAACTGGCTCCACAGTCTCCTCATCTGGGCTGTTAAGGGCCTGGTTTTCTGGAGAAGCCTGCGAGGGAGGCGTGTTTCTCAAAGCCCCATCCAGAAGCGTATACTCAGTTGGAGTAATGTCTAACTGGACGGTACATTCCATCTTTGATGCCTTGTTTAAAGGAGATGGAAATCCTACAACTTTTACAGGTCTGCTTGATTTAATAGGCTCATCTGGAAAGTTTTTCTTGGGATCTATTTCTTCTTTCCTACCAGTCGCAGGTATATGTTGCTCTCGGCTACCACCACTTTCCACTTCCATTAGCCCTGAACCACCTGCTGCCTCCTCTTCTGATCTGTCAACACTTTTATTGAATGGCTCTTCACTTAAACCTCCAAGTCTCTTTATATTGCCTAACTCACTGCTTTTCTGCTTTTCTTTATCAGCTGTTTCCACCTGTGCCTCTTCCTGTTCACTTTCCTGTTGAAGCCTGAAAAAATCCTCAGTCATGTCCTCAGGGGTAGACGTTTTAGAGCCACAGTGGTTCGCTGTCTCTCGTTTTTGATTCTCTTTCGTCTTAACAGGAATTTCTGGCTCTACAGTTTTTTGTTTGGACTTGTTATTAGGCAGTTCAGTGTTTACGTGCACCTTCTTGCTATTGTTTGCTTCATTTCCTAGTAGTTTTTGTGTTTTCTTCTCTCCTGTCTTAGAGACATTTTTTGTATCCTTTTTGGGTCTGGTTTTGTTTTCACTCTTTGCTTTTGAGGGAGCAGAAATCCTTTTCATCGGTTCAGTCCTTTTAATACTGTTCTCTTTTTCAACAGTCTTCTCCTCTTTTTTTCCACCCTTCCCCACTCCTTTCTTTGAACTATTCCTTTCTGAAAATGATGCTTTATGTTTTAATCCTATTTCCTTGATTTTGGCTTTGTCCACATCTTTTCCACCAACTCCAATTAAAGTCTTTCCTTTTTCTTTTCCCTCCTCTCGAACTACACGTTCTTTCCCATACTTGGGTGATCCCTCCTTACCCAGAGACTTGCCACTGTCCAGGCTATCCGTCCTCTTGACTTTTCTGTCCTGCCCCAGCCTTTCAAGGTCTCCAGTAGTCACTGTTGGTTTCTGTAAGAAGTCTAACCCCTTGAGCTTCTCCAGTCCCTGGAGTAGCTTCTCTTGTGGCGTTACACCCGGGAACAGCACCCTGACCACCTTCTCTTGCGGACACGCTGGATGCCACACGAGCAAGACGGAAACTGAGGCCAGGGTGGTGAGAGGGAGGCTTGGGGATTTTGATGATGATATGATTCCATCAGGCCAGTTTTGCATGAATGTCTCATACTCCTGGCTGTTTCTCCCTGGACTTAGGATGTACAAATCCAACTGTCCCACCCCCATCTTTTGAAACAGGGTTAGTGGCTTAATGGGTACTCCTTGTGGTCGAAACATTGGTTGCGGCTTAATGTCTAACTTCTTCAGCAGCTGTAGGGTTACAGCTGCCTGCTGTGTGCTCCTGAGCACATTGTCTTCACCTTGTAAAAGAATGATAATTTCAATTACTTACTCCAATTAACTGAATCTTCACCAGTGCAACTCCAATTACCTTGATTTCTACAATTTCTACAATTATAAAGCTACAATGTTATTACGATTGTAATATCGCTCAAAGAGAAGAAAGAAGGAAGAGGGCCACCTGCATCATGAAGGACCCCACTCACCCAGCACACACATTTTTTGCCCCGCTCCCCTCAGGAAGGAGGTTGAGGAGCATTAAGTGTAGAACGACTAGACTGAGGAACAGCTTCTACCCTGAGGCTGTTAGACTCGTGGATCTCTATAACCATGATAATTACTGTGAAAAATCACCTCATTTTGCTGCTGATCTGTTTCATGTTGCTGCTGATCTGTTTCATGTTGCTGTGTTCATTTGTACTCATCTGCTCACACAGACTCATGTTCGTGCTGCTGTTCGGCGTATTGTTTTTATACTACTAGTGCTTAGGGTATTTTTAGTTATCATTTTTCTTAGTTCATATCTTAGATCTTTTTACTGTTTTTCTTTTACATTTTATACTTTTGTTGGATGTAACTGGGACCCCGAGTACACAGTTTCATTTCATCACATGTACCACATGTGGTGTGAATGACAAATAAAGAACCTTGAATCCTTTTGAACTGTGTGCTGATAACAGGCCGGACCGCCCCTCTCCTCTTTAGTGCAGGGGATGTGGTGTCTCCGGCTCCCAATAAGAATTTCACATCTCAATTGGTCTGACTACAGAACAGTTTTCTATTTTGCTTCCATCCATTTTAAATGACCTTTGTCCCAAAGAAGACAGCAGCATTTATCTGTTATGTTCATATATGACTTATTTGCATGATAGAGCTTACCTATAATTTGTGGATGTTATGGCAAACGATGTTTACGGACAATGAATCAAACCTGTTTGTAATGGTGCTGCCTGACAGCTCAAAGATCATATGCAATAATGACTTTTTGTCTTGTTTGTTGTGCACAAATTTTATCTAGATTCTTGAAAATTTGTAATAACATCATCAACAGTAGATGATGATGATTCAATGTCTTCCCAATTTTTAGTTGAACTTATTTCTGAAATATTCCACTATTTTTAGATGCAGATTTTCACACACTGGTAAACCTCTGCCCATTTTTACTTCAGAAAGATTCAGCCTCTCTAAAATGCTGTTTTAATCCCCTGTCCGCTTACTGACCAATTAAACTAATTTTCAGTGAAATGCTCCACCAGGTGTTTCTTATTCATACCACTTATTTTACAGCTTTTTGTTGCCCGCCTCATCTTGTTTGAGTTGTGTTGCTGCCTTTATGTTTCCCAAAAATGGTACAATTTCTTAGTTTAAACATTTGATAGATTTACCATTCCATTGTGAACAAAATGTGGATTTGAATGAGCAAATTATTGTTTTTTTTTACATTTTGCACCATGTCTTAGGTTTTACTAAATTGTGGTTTTAAATTGATGTATAAGAGAAATGTTTAAATGACCTCAATTCGATTGTGTGTGTGGTCATATTCGTTTTTGTCTTGTTTTGTTTTCTGCACATTTTGCACAACTCACATGTAGGAAGATGCTCCTGCAATCTGCTTGGTGCGTTGAGGAATACAACGCCAAGCTCTGGAGAGATGAGCTTCTTAGACAAGTCATCTGTGCAAACAGAAACGAGGGCCTTAAAACAAATGACAACTTTTGTTCTTTACTCCCCTCAACATAAGACTAACTTACCTTTTATTTCAGAACTCAGTTCTTTCTCAGCCACCTTCCTCTCCAAGAACGATATGGCACCTGGGAGGTTCTCCGTGCCTATGTGCGTCAACAAAATTGCATCCACTCTGTCAAGGTGGCGAACCAGCTTCCAGAAGCAGGCCTGATAGTCGGACCCCCCATCCACCAGCACCGTGAACCCGTTAATGGCGAAAAAGGCGCAGTCGCCGCGGCCCGCAGGGAACACATAGCAACAGGGACGGGACAGTTTGAGGAAACCAACAGTAGATGGAGGTGGCAGGAGGTCAAAGGGGGAAGCAGTGCAAATTGTCCCAGAGATGAGGGACGTAAATTCCCCCAGAGACTGCATGGCAGGTAGCACCTCTGGGGGGTTGATTTGGAGGGTGAGAGAACCCTGCAGGGGTGGGTTTTCCAAGAGAGTCTTCCTCCACTGCCCGATGTTGGGACAGCTGAGGGTCAGATGGGTCTTGGTGAGGGGAAGGCAGGAGGCAGAGCTCTCATTATCTTCAAACTGAAAAAAATAGATGATTTTCAGTTTACATGCAAGTCCAAGTACAAAGTTACTTTGATCAGTTTTTCATGGGGGGCGATACTGTTGTTGTCTGTGTGTCTGTTGTGTGAGCAAACTAACTTATCAGGGCTTAATTTGAGCTGGATCCTGCTGGGACAGGATCCAGGAACTCTCATATTTTGACAGGGTGCGTTCTGGTAACTGTTTGCTTGAATCAGGTAACTCTCAGGCTTACTAATAAAGTTATGAACAACTTTGACTGCCTTCAACAAATAAAACTTATATTGGATATGTAATCTTAAAATGCATAAACACTGATTTTAAGCATAACAACCACTAACAAGCTTCTTAATATCACATCAGAGCTGCCCCTTTATGTAGGCGATTATGCTTCTACCCTCAAAAAATATATATCCGCCCCTAAAAGTATGGGCAATTTAATTAGAAACACAAAAATATAATTAAACAGCACAACTAAATTACAAATCAGTTTTACAGTTTAAGTGGGTCATTAATAAAATTTTGATTCTTTATTAAAAATACAAGGAGAGAAATGTTTGGTGCATAGGCATCGCAACCATTATATGTGAAGGGGACAAATCTTCTCCACATTAAAAAAAATGTTCATTTGGACCCCCCCCCCCCCCCCACACACACACACACACACACACACTTTTACTATGAAACATTAGTTCAGTCGGCGCTTTTTCTCTTTCTTCGTGAACGAATCTATTCCACTTGATCAATAGGAGAATAGTCAAGCCTCTAAAACGTCACTCCAGGTTTTCCTAGTTACCTCCAACTCACCGTTTCTCCTACGTCTCCTCCTGCCTCGATAGAAAACGCGCACAGGTGGAGGAGGTGGAGACACCTCTGTGTTTATCATTCGCCAGTTTAGCGAGCTTAGTGCGAGCGCAGTTCTTGACCAGGGGGGTTGATCATAAACATATATTCATGTTAGGAGGATGCTTGAGAGAAGAGGAGCACTACGTAGCATCTTAGCTTAGCAGTAACTGTGACGCTGTAAGACGCTGCAGGTGTAAGAGACGCTGCAGGTGTAAGAGACGCTGCAGGTGTAAGAGACGCTGCAGGTGTAAGAGACCCTGCAGGTGTAAGAGATGCTGTATGTTCAGGTGCATTAAAGTTGAAATGTCTTTAAAACCCCGCACCTTATTGTCCTCAAGCTTCATGAGAAACATCATTTAGATGAGTAGTGTTGAACACAAGTAAAAAAAGTCCAGTGGTGATGTTTTTTTATTTCTCTATAAACACAAATAGTGCTGATCTGATGCTCTGTATTAAAGTGTATTAAAGTTTAAATGTCTTTAAAACCCACAGCTGAATTTACACAAACTTGGTGAGAAACATGTTTTAAATGTGTGGAATTAAAGGAAATCTAGGTGAAATGCTGCTTTTGTGTACACTAGCGTAGACTACACTTTTTTTATGCGCGCACACACACACCTACAAACATCATTGTGTCCCCCCCACATTACGGATGCTTCTGACGCCCTTGGTTTGGTGGGTAATCATGTTACGTACAGCACGTATCAAAACAATGGTGCCAATTTGTCAAAATAACAGCGATCAAAATGTCAAAAAGAGTCCAATTTACTTTCATTTTTAAAAAAAGTCTTCTCGTTGTACAACTAAACAACCAAGAATTAAAGCACATGAAGACAGTGGCAATGGAGATACTGGGGCAGGTGCAAGTGGTGGGGGTGACAGCCGAGCTAACCAGGCTGTCGTACCGGGGCAGGAGCCCACATGAACAGCCTGAGGAGGAGCCTGGGGGTGAAGCTAAACGTAGATGTTTAACAACCCATGAAAATACACCAGAATGCAGGAAATGGCATCTAATTTATTCAAAAACTTCTGGGGGAGGACCCAGACCTCTGCTATTTGTTCCGGCATCATTTGGATTACAAATTAAGCCCTGTACCTTATGAAGCACTGGATGTATTTTAATAAAACTTGCAGAAAGTAATGATTAGGCATTACTTCCTGACGGCTAATTAACCATAGCAAACATAAAAAGGATACAACCCAGCTCAGTTTAACAGATTTTGAGCTAAAGATAGCTTGGTAGTAGCTGAGGGTTGTTACCAACACACTTCCCTTTGAACCACATTTGTTCACCATTCTCTGTCTGGATATTGTCTTCTCCATTTGTGAGTTGCACCTTCTGATCTACAAGTTCTATTTCACAAGCATGCTATTGCTAAAGATTTTATTTTTTTCAAATCGATGTAAGGAAAATCCAAGACGTGTTTTTGTCTGTGTGAAACGTTGTACCTGCTCTTTTATTATTTGCCTCAGATGTTCTGGTGAGAACAGTCCTCTGTGAAACAGCAGGTCTCCACTGTCCTCCTCGCTCAGGCCGGACAAGATCAGCAGCTTCTGAGCCGAGTCCTGGGACAGCAGGGCGAACACCTGGCAGAGGAGCAGAGATGGAAAAAACTGGGTTCCTTTCAGTGTTATTCATAAAAGATCAAAGAAAACTGTAAACATATTTAAAAAGAGGGGAAAATATAAAGAAAAGTTTAGCTAAGAAATATAAGTCATTAAATTCTTACGACCTGTTGGTTAAACAAGACGTTATTCCAACCTCTGGAAATGAAAACTTTTACAAGAAAACAATAAAGATAGTCAATATTTCAAATCAAATTATCACCTGCAACTAAAGATGAAAGGCATTAATGTTTTTAACTGTGTTTATGTGTCATTTGGCAGTCATGTTGGAAAATATATGAATCAATCTTGGTCATAATCGTTGGATTCAAACTAATTCAAGATGGCCACCAAAAGACAATTAAATTTTACACAAGTGTTTGAAAATCAAAATGCCAGATTGATTTCTTTGTTTGACTGAGTGACATCCAGCTCTGTCTGCCCTCACCTCTGAATGAGCCGACTCCTGAGACGGACTGATCAGAACCTGAGTGTCCAACACTTTGGTCGAGTGGCGCAGACACTTCTGCCCTGCAGAGGCGAAGACGATGAGACAGACAGGGAAGGACAGACAGAGGACAGTCAGAGCTGCTAAAACAAGATTAAAACAGGGAGCAGAAGACCAAGAAGAAATGGAGACAGTTCACTTGGTGGGAGAGAAAAGTAGATGAGCTGAGTTTACTCAGTCTGCAGGGAGAGTCCACTCTGAGTGGAGCTGCAGGAGCTTCTAACCTCGGAGCTGAAAACAACGGCATCAACATGAGGAGAAGTTTGTTCAGAGACTGCAACGATTAAACAGAAGATAAGATGTTACAAGAATGAAGCAAAGGTCCTCATTTCTTTAGATGATGCTGTCAACGAGTCAAACTGTTATTGAAATGCTGCAATTTAGACCATCCAACCATCATCCATCCAACCATCCATCCATCCATCCATCAATCCATCATCCATCCATCAATCCATCAATCATCCATCATCCTCCATCCAACCATCCATCATCTATCTATCTAATATCCATCCATCATCCATCAATCATCCATCCACCCATCAATCAATCCTTCCATCATCCATCCATCCATCCATCCATTAATCCATCCATCTATCCATCCATCAATCAATCCATCCATCATCCATCCATCCATCCATTTTCTTTACCTGTTTATTCCATTTTGGGTCACGGGGGTCGCTGGTGCCCATGTCCAGCAATCACTGTGCGAGGGGCGGGGTACACCCTGGACGGGTCGCAAGTCCATCACAGGGACACATAGAGACAAACGAGACAAACAACCATTCACTCTCTCACTCACACCTAGGGACAATTTAGAGTTACCAATCAGCCTAACATGCATGTTTTTGGTCTGTGGGAGGAAACCGGAGTACCCGGAGAAAACCCACGCATGCACGGAGAGAACATGCAAACTCCACCCAGAAAGGCCCCCGGACCGGGATTTGACCCAAGGACCTGCTCGCTGAGAGGCAGCAGCTCTACCAGTTGCGCCACCGTGCTGCCATATATATATATATATATATATATATATATATATATGGCATATATACATATATATATACATGATACAGCCACATAGTGCAGCAGCAATAAACATATTAGGTGTCACAGTAATTATTAATTAATTAATAGTTAGCCACTTTAGCTAATATTTAGTCACTTTTTGCTTTTAGCTAATGTTTTGCTAATTTTAGTTAGCATATTGTTACTATTTATAGTTTGGTTGTATTTTGCCCTTTTCAGACAGCATTTTGTCAAGTTTCTTTATTGTCATTCTCATCCCATGTGGTACATGTGGTGGAACGAAATTGTGTACACAGGGTCCCAGTTACATCCAACAATATATATATATATACCTATAATGTTATACATATCAAACCTTCCACAGTTGACATATTTCTGTAGTACAGTGTCTGTTTTGTTTAGGATTTTGTTGTTGTTTTTGTAGCCTATTTTGTTTATTTTCAGCCTCATTCCTTTTCAGTTATCACGTTTATGTTCTGCATTTTGTAATTCTTATATTCTGTTCTTTGTGTTTTTCCACGCCAGTGTCACTTATCCTCATCAGTTTCTGCGCCTCAGCTCTTGCCCCGCCAACTTAACCTGCTCTCAGTCCGCGTTAGAGTCACCGGTCTTCAGTTTCCTCATCAGCCCCAGTCCATTGATCCAGTCCTCTGATCTTTCTTCCACTCAGCATGCCATCAAATTGTGCTTCATGCCCTGTCAGGAACTCCTCAAGGTTTCCACTTCTTATTTTGCTCTTATTCGCTTTTTATTTGAATTCTTCATTTTTCATTCTGCCTTATTAGGTTTAATTCCCCTCTAAGCATGATAATTTTAAATTAAAGAAATTGGAACAAATGATCAAACTACAAGTTTTGAATCTGTTCTAAGTTTCCTTCTCGTTCCATGCTCCCTCCCAGCTTTGAGCTGAACAGCAGCTGGTTTTAGCTGCTTATTTACAGTAACGGAATAAGAGATATTGATTCTCACATCTTGGCAAGACAGCAGATAAATGCATTTCCAAAAATGCACCCCGCCACTTTCCATTCACTGCAGCATTTAGCTCAGACAAGCTTATGGGATGACAACATGTGATACGCAGAATAAAAAGTATGAACATGTTCCATGCTTTTCTCTTTCCAGCTGTGCTCAGATGTTCTGTACATACTTTAGATTTTAATGTGCAAACAGAAAAAATGACAAAAACAAAGTGGAACCACTAGTTGCAGGTTTCTTTTTGTTTTCAGCCCTGAGGGCTCGCCCACATTTAACAATCGCCTGACTTGGTCTTTACTTCCCTTCCTTCCTTCCTCTGTGACCTCAAAGCGGCAGAGCTCGCCTGCCACCGTGAAGAACAGAGTTTTATGTAAGTTCAGAGAATCTGGGCATGAAGAATTGCTTCAGCAAAACCACGATTCTTACCTGCACCTTTAAAAGATGCCGTGTGATGGGACAGGAACTCCTGGAGAAACACGTCCAGGTTGCAGGATTTGAAGTCCACGTCCCATGAGCGAATTCCTGAGGACATTAAAAAAAAAACATCACACAAGATCAAAAGCAACTCGAGGTTAAGAAGGATTAAATGTGACGTGTGCATTTATTCTAGGTTCAATTAAAAATGTTAGAACGTTTACCCCAGTTTCTTTTTTACAGTATATTTATTCCCACGCAGTGTTTTAGGCTAATACCTCAAGAAGCACCGAACCAACAAAAAACCCTGCAGGAAATCATCACAGGGTGTAGCTCATCATAACTGTATGAGCCAGTCTGGTTCCAAAATACTACCACAGTCAGCTGACCCTAAAAACATATAGACTGATATAACTTGGTCAGTTTTAGACATTGAGCTATATTTTATGTGGTAGTAACTGAGAGTCACCCACACACATACTCTGACAACGTCTCTCAATATGGTATGAGACTGTGCACGACATTAATCACAACGTTTGACAAAAACACCACCACCATTTCTCAACGTGCTCTAAAATGATCTTAGTGCAACACTGGAGGGAGATATGGAAAGATAGCTTGTTTTTAGTTTGACAAACTTTTTTTTTTTTGGCTAGCTTTGAGTCAGTGTTTCGCTACTTTTAGTTAGCGTTTTATTTCTATTACTTTTAGCTAGTGTTTGC